GGAAATAAAGGGAATGGGGAGAGAAGATGATGATCCCGATGATCGGATGTGAACTGGTTACCTTGTCTCTCTTGTCTTCAGTCTATCTCGTGAGGATCAAGTCTCTCTCTTTCTTGTCTTGTAACGGCATTCACCCGGGGTGAGTTGAGCCTGCTCCAATATTGGAGTTTCATGGGAATTTGGAATTCACAAGCGGTCCCGAAACCCGCATGTATAGCACATGAGATTTGATTATAGTGGTGAAGGTTTCGTGCAGGACCATCCACACTTTTTGAAGGGCCGAATACAGAGACCTGGTGCACTACGTGCCACAAGGTCCCCAAACGACCGTCCGCAGGTTTTGAATTCAGAGTTTTCCTTCTCCTAGACGAGTTGCCATCCAAGGCTATAGAACCCAGTCTGCCAAGTCTTCTTTCCTCATAATGTGTCCAAGGGATTTTAGTTGTTTTTCTTGATTCTGAGTATAAGTGTTCTTTCTGTTGCCATTTAATTTAAGACTTACTTGTTACTTACTCACTAAGAATTCTCAGTATCCTTCTGTAGAACCACACTTCTGCTACCACCAGTTTTCTGCTCCGCCATGGAAAACTTGTCCAGCATTCATTGCCACAGAAGAGGATTCATAAATTTAGGGTAGGGCGAGGGTTCAAAAAAAGCTCTCTGATTGGGACCCGGAAAGAAATATGTATAAAGCAGAAATCAAAGGAAATAATAATAATAATAATAATAATAATAATAATAATCAAGCTGACGGAGACAAAACCCGTACCCATCAGTGGCTACGTAGTGCAGGGTTAAAAGCAAAACTGAAGGTTTTATCCTTGCTGCACAAGACCAATGCTTGTTAACTAGGAATTATCAAGCACATATACTAAAATATTGTGTCAGCCCAAAATGCAGATTCTGTGATAAATATCCAGAAACGATTGAACATCTTGTATCAGGTTGCACGATGTTGGCACCCACTGAATATAAAACCCGACATGACAGAGTGGGCCAATATCTGCACTGGAAAATCTGCAACTTTTACGGAAGGAAACTGAAAGAAACTGGTATGAACACCACCCAGACCCGGTTACGGAGATAGGACCTGTTACAATTCTATGGGACTACACAATACACACTGACAGAACAATCAAGGCCAACCGCCCAGATATTGTTATTAAAGACCACAAACAAAAACGGTGCCTCCTTATTGATATGGCAGTCCCTGCTGACTGCAATGTATCTTTGAAGATATTCAAAAAGCTGTCAAAATACAAGGACCTTGAAATAGAAATCTCGAAAATGTGGCATATGGGAACATCAACAATCCCTGTTGTAGTTGGAGCCCTAGGACTGGTTGGAAAAGATTGCAGTAGACTAATTGAAGGGATTCCTGGAAGTCCATGCCTCAAAGGAGATACAAAAAATTGTTCTGACAAGTACAGCCCACACTTTACGAAGGGCTTTATCTATGTAATTTTTTTTTTTTTTTTTTTGTCAGTGGAAAGTGTCATGATGCCATTTCTAACCTTAGGTCCCTGGGCGGGACCCGGAAAGAAATGTGTAAACGCCAGAAATCAAAGAAAAATAATAATAATAATAATAATAATAATAATAATAATAATAAAAAAACATATTAAAATCACCTTTGAAAAAAAACTTCAAAGAGAAAACACATAATAATATGAATATGAATAATATTTTTAATTTAAATGGATGACTGAACGAGGACGGTGAACAAGTAAAGGTTCCAAAAAAATTAAAATACGAAGTTGAAAAAGAGTAATCATCATTCCCTCATTCAGGGAAGAAATTACAAAAATAATAATAATAAACAAATAATTTTTGACCAAAAAAAAAAATGCAATTTTTATTGAATTGGCAGTCCAAACCAGATTTTAATGTATCTTTGAAGAAACTTGAAATGAAAATCTCAAAAATGTTTAATTATAATGACATCAATAATTCCAGTTTTTATTGATCAACTTGGATTGACTGGAAAATGTTCTGATAATAGAAACTCATTAAAAAATTCCTGGTAACCAATAATTTTAAAGAAACAAAAAACATTGTACTCATAAATACAACTCACACACCTTAAAAGGGCTTTTTTATTTCTGCAAAATATGAATTTTTTTTCAAAATCCTTCAGTGAAAAAGTCATGATGTCATTTCTTGACCTTAAATCTCTTTATGGGGACCCGGAAATAAATTAGTATAATTAAATTGTATTTAAAAGAAAGAAATAATAATAATAATAATAATAATAATAATAATAATCTTTTAATTTTTTAAGAAGAAGAAGAAGAAGAACATTTTGAATTTTCAAGGTTTCGATAGACTTATTGAATATAAACCTTTGTAGTCCATGTTTTTTTTTTACACAAAAAAAAATTATATAAGATTAAACCCACATACATCTTATATTCCCAACTTTATCTTTTTAAAATAAATTTCACCCATCGCTTTATTTTTTTTCAAAATGCAAGATGTGTAAAATGTCATGATGCCATTTCTGACCTTAGGTCTTTAGTTGGGACCCAGAAAGAAATGAGTATACACCAGAAATTAAATAATAATAATAATAATAATAATAATAATAATAATAATAATAATTCGCAATAGGTCAAGATTTCGTTTTCTCTCCTTGTCAAAACCGCATCTAAAAATCTATCTTCGGTCGATATAATCAGCACCAACTGATTTTCAACTGCGGCTGCTAAATCCCCCCCCCACTATTCCAAGTTTTCATTTACTAACACTTTTCTTTTGATCAACTCCTCTTTCTTGTGCAAATAGAAAATAAAAATTCATTTTAATCTGTTGTTGCTCTCCGTTTTAACAGGCATTTCCGATCATTAAAATGAAAAAAAAAAAAAAAAAAAAAAAAAAATAATGTAATTATACAAAATTTCAGAAAGTTCACTTTTTCAAAATTTTCATTGCTATAAATATTCCGATAACAACATTCTAGGATTTAATACCTGATTTTTTGGACGGCATAGACGAGAATTGTTTAAGCTCCAGCGTCGAAGCAAACCAGCTCGTAAATCCAAATCACCTACCAAGAAGGTTTCAACTTGCTATAATTAAAAACTCTCCCAACAGGTGGCAACAGCAGCGGCAGTAGTTAACGTGTTCATTACAGAGGCGAGAGACAGTAGCAGCCATCAGAACGGTGTGCTGTTGAAGACCCGTTACAGTCGCATTCCCAGAGCCTAGAATTCCTGTTTACCATCTTCGGAAGTGGCTTGTCTGCAGAATCAACAGGTTCTATATTATCGCTGTTCAATTCGGTGGTTCT